ACTTAGCCGAGAACCTCCATAGGAATTTCTTGTCCTTGATGGATGCCACTTCAGGGTATTCTTGAGCCTTAAGGTATCTTTTCAATTCATGAAACCTAGGCTTCTCTTCTACTCCATCAGTATCAATTTTATAGCAGTGTGCTGGTTCATCCATTCTTTCAATATTAATTTTAGGAGCTTCATTTCCCCAACTGACCTTGAACATAGATGACATGGTAGCCAATGCGTCCGCCAACTGATTCTCTTCTCTTGGGATATGCTCAAAATTAATCTCTTCGAAATACAGAATCAAGGTTAACACATATTCTCGATAAGGGATAAGATTCAGATGCTTCATATCCCATTCTCCCTTGATCTCACTGATCACCAGGGATGATTCCCCATATATGCTCAAGAACTTGATTCTCAGGTTAGTAGCAGCTTTAATACCCATGATGCACGCTTCATATTCAACAATATTGTTAGTGCAATCAAAGCAAAGTCAGGAGGTGAAATGCGTATGGCAACCCTGAGGAGAGATAATTATGGCACCAATTCCCTTTCCAAGTGCATTGGAAGCTCCGTCAAAAACCACAGTCTATCGGGATCCTGGCTCAGGTCCTTCATATGGTCCAGGTTCTTCACAATCTATAACTAGCATAATGTTCTCGTCCGGGAATTTGAAATTCATAGATTGATAGTCGTCTACATCTTGATGTGCCAAATGATTTGTCAGCACACTTCCTTTGATGGCTTTTTGAGTGGTGTACTGAATGTTGTATTCTGTTAAGACCATTTTCCATCGGGATATTCTTCTGGAGAGAGCTGGCTTCTTGATATGTACTTGATGTGATCTACTTTATAGATCAACAAGGTAGTATGGGTCAACATATACTGTCTTAGTCGGCGAGCAACCCATGCCAAAATGCATCATGTTTTCTCAAGCAGTGAATATCTTGTTTCACAGTCGGTATACTTTTTGCTAAGGTAGTATATTGCATGATCTTTTTGACCAGACTCGTCATGTTGGCCCAATACGCACCCCATTGAGTTCTCTAGCACTGTTAGGTACATGGTTAGAGGCCTTCCTTCAACTGGTGGTATCAAAATAAGAGGTTCTTGTAGGTACTCCTTAATTTTATCAAAGGCTATTTGACAGTCGTCGTTCCATTTTACTACTTGATCTTTCTTCAACAGCTTGAAGATTGGCTCATAAATAGCAGTCAAATGGGAATGAAACGGGAAATGTAATCCAGTCGTCCTAAGAAACCTCTGGATTCCTTCTCGGTACAGGGTGCCGTCATTTCTTGAATAACTTAACTTTTGCAGGATCATCTTCAATACCTTTACCGCTAACGACGAAACCCATGAGTTTACCGGATCTCACCCCAAAAGTGCACTTATTCGAATTTAACCTGAGCTTGTACTTCTTCAGTCTTTGACCTTGCTATCATGTCGTCGATGTAGACTTCTATCTCGTGATGAATAATGTCATGAAATAAGGCTACCATGGCACACTGATAAGTTGCCCCAACGCTCTTCAACCCAAAAGGCATAACCTTGTAATAGAAAGTGCCCCACTGTGTGACGAAGGTAGTTTTATCCATGTCTTCAGGTGCCATCTTGATCTGATTATACCGTGAGAAACCATCCATGAAGGAGAATACCTCATGCTGAGCGGTGTTATCGACCAGAACATCAATATGTGGTAGTGGGAAGTCATCTTTGGGGCTCACCCTGTTCAGATCCCTATAGTCTACACATACGTACCTTGCCATCTTTTTTGGGTACCGGAACAACATTTACAACCCATTGAGGATATGATGTCACTGCTATAAAACTTGCATTAAATTGTTTCATAACCTCGACTTTGATCTTTTCAAACTTTTTGGGACGCATGCAATGACCTTATGCTTTATCGAAGCACAACCCTCTTTCATTGGCAGACGATGGACCACAATATAGGTATCGAGCCCTGAAATGTCTTTGTATGATCTAGAAAATATCTCAACATATTCATGCAACATCTGGATTAATCTATTCTTGACACTGCTCTCTAAGTTGGCGCCTATCTTGACTTCTTTCCTGTCTGTCTCGGTACCCAAATTTACAACTTTGATTGGCTCTTCATGTGGTTGGATAGCCTTTTCTTCTTGTATTAAGAGTCTAGAAAGTTCTCCAGGTATTTCACAATCTTCCCCACCTTCATCTTTGGCTTGGTAGATCAGATTTTCAAAGTCATAAGCGGCAATAACAGAATCGTTATCAACGAGATCTTGAATGGACTAGGATCTGCAATGTAGTGCGTGGGTTTGTATAAGAACACATAACTATTTTAAAATGCAATAAGTAAAAGAAAAACAGGGAGCACAAAATTTGAATGCAAAACGTCCAATGTTTTTATTGAATAAATGATGTTTATGAATTATCAACCCTTAACAAATGAACCATTGTACCCCGGTTAAGGCACAAGGTTTAAAGTCATTATTTATTACATAAACAAAATCTTTTAAAATAAATAAGACAGGAATATAACTATTACTTCTGGCTAAAGGAGATAGGAATAATGTCTTTCGTTTTCCAATTGTCGAGTTTGTTGCCAATAGTAGGGAATATCCAGCTGTCAAAGTCACAATAACTGTCAGCGTCTTTTATAGAGTTGACTCTGTTGTTGCTGATACAGAATGGAGGTCTTTCAGCCCGAGCGCAGCGAAGAGCCCTTTGACCTTCTGTAGTAAATCCCAAACCAAACTTTTCAGATTTATAAGGGATATCAGCAAGCTGACCCCAAATAGTACAACTATCTTCTTCTATAGTAGCTTTGGTATCTTTCAAGGAAGACATCTTTTGCAGAATCTTGGTGATCTTTGGAATGGTAGAAACACCCTTAACAGAAGTAGAGGAAACCATTTAAAAAGTATGACAGGGAGTCTCGATGAATTCCCTGTCCATCTCCATGTACCATAATGAATTCAGGTGGCTGACCATGTACTCCTCTTCTCTGCAGACAATAACAATTTTTCCTCTTACAGTGTATTTTGATTTCTGGTGCAAGGTGAAGGTAACAACACCTACCCCATGGATCCAGGAGCGTTCTAATAGGCAAGAATAAGCTGGCCGGATGTCCATTACATAGAATATGGACTCAAATATCTGTGAACCCACTTTGATTAGGAGGTCCACTTCTCCATGCACCATTCTCTTGGACCCGTCAAAGGCTTGAACTATGATATTACTGGGCTTCAGCATAACCCCTTCACAATCTAGTCGGTCAAGAGCGCCTTTTGGAAGAACATTCAGAGAGGAGCCAGTATCAATTAACACATGAGCCAACATAGTGCCCCTACATTCAATGGAGATATACAGGGCCCTATTATGATCTCTCCCCTCCGGAGTCAGGTCAGCATCGGAGAAGCCTAATCCGTTATCAGTTGTTAAGCTACCCACATAACTTTCAAATTGACCAGCCGAAATTTCTTGCGGCACGTGAGCAGTCTTCAAGAATTTCACTAAAGCCTGTTGTTATATGGTGGGAGAACTGACTTGGGTGTTTTGTATTTTATGTAATTGATGCGGATAGCAAGAGTCGCCACCGACTTTTCTTTTATCCAATAAAGGAAATGGTGAAAAGCACAGGAAAGACCTTTTGAGAATTTTTCTTGAGTTCGGGGGGTAGATTATGAAAAGGGAAGGTGTTAGCACCCTTTTCATCCATAGTTATCTACGGGATCTTAGTTGTTAGATCACTTTGAAAATTCTTTGTTTGAAAATGTGTTTGTGATTGGTTTTGAAATTATTTTTGAAAAGTGCCTTCATTTAGGCGAACTTTGTAATGATTCTCGTCTCTATAAGAATGTATACAAAGTGTTGACTTTTGAAAATATTTCGTTTTGAAAGTGTTGGTATGTTTGAAAGATGTTATTTTGAAAATGTTGTGAGCAAGCAACTATGAACGTTCTACCTACTCAAAAAGTCTTTGTTCATTTCCTCCTACTTTAGATATTGCTATCTCACCATTGATTGGTAAGAAGCCCTATCCTTGGATGTGAAGGGACATGCATGGGTTAATCGTACAGTCATAGAAGGCAACTTGTGAGACGCTTTTAGAAATTTTCGTAAGGGACTAAGATCATATTACCGAAGGCAACGTTGAAGGGTCATCGAGGGATTACAATCTTTTTAATCGAGGGTCTTTGCTAAAGCGTCCCATATTCGAGAGACATGATTGTTTTTCCAAGGCAACAGGCGAGGTTAACCCTAGAGGTGCACGTGTGCGAAAAGTGATTTGTTTTCGGTTATTTTATCTTGAAGTTTATGGTTATCTATCGTTTGATTTTATATCTTATCATACACGCCTAATTACTATATCGTATAAAGAAAAACAATAAATTGTGGAAATTAAAATTCTATGCTATTACAGAGCTTTCAGGAATGGGGAGTACAAAATTACAAATGGGAATGGATCAAATTAACAATGCGATTAAAAGTCTGAATAAGCAATCAATACAATCCAATCGAAATGAAAAAATGAATAGTTAATCAAACTAAAACAAACTATTAAATAAAATTAATTAGCAAAATAATTAATAATATCAAAATAATGTTTTTGGGGTTTTGTTTGTGATTAAAATTGAAAAAAATAAAAAATTAAATTCTATTCTATTATTTTCTGATATTTTTTATCATGAATGAATTAAAAATTTTAAAAAAAATATTAACTAAACAAAAAATGCTATTTAACTAAATTATTCACAAAATCCCTAACTAAATTAATTAAGAAAATTAAATAACTTTGAAATTATATTTTTTTATCTAATTGAATATTTAAAACAAGAAAATATATATTTTTGTATTTTTATATAATAAAGAAAAATAGTTTAAGCAAACAATACAAAAAAAAGATATATAAGGAAAAAAGAGGAAATAAATGGGCCTGAAATATAGTAAATCTGGTGGTGTAGAAAGGAGATTTGCTTGGCCCAATAGCAATCAGGAATCCGGTGCAAAGTAAAATCTGGGAGTTATGAAACAAAATTCGTCCAGGCCCACTCAGGAAAAGCCCGCGTTGTTGGCAGATCTGGTGCAGTCGGTCCACGCGTGTACTGATCATGGGGAGCATCCTCATCATTGGATTTGTCATTGACTTCAGGTATTCTTGATGAAGGATGATGAGGGTGTTGGCACATCGTAAGGACGTGTGATTGCATACATAGGATGGGAAATGGTGTCACCACCGTCCGGTGACACCTGTCCCACCTGAAACAACAAACAAATAACAAAACCACAACATAATTCTTTGTTCTCTCATAAAATTCGACCCTCTCCCTCTCTATGGTCTCTCTCTCTCTCTCTCTCTCTCTCTCTCTCTCTCTCTCTCTCTCTCTCTCTCTCTCTCTCTCTCTCTCTCTCTCTCTCTCTCTCTCTCTCTCTCTCTCTCTCTCTCTCTCTCTCTCTCTCTCTCTCTCTCTCTCTTATGAACATGTTCCACTGGAAAACTGAACCGTCTGGAGAAGGCTGCAGCGCACGGTGATCGCCGCTGTCTTCTCCAGAGAACCCCAACCAAAGCCCCCAATCTGATGAAGCAAGCCCCCCGAGTTTAAATCCGGTGTCTATTTTGATGAAGGAGTAACGAATCTTCCTAAATCTACAAGGGGAAACGAAACCCTAGGTGTTCAGATTCAAACAAAATTAGTAAATCAAGCTATAAGGATGATGCGGACGATGATGATGAAGATGAATCTGCGACGAGAATGAAGAAAACGCTACAAGGAAGAGAAAATTGAAATTCATAAGAACTCTCAACCTTGTGCTAAACCCAGGTATGAATGAAAACGACTCTATTCTCTTCCGTTACTTTTCTTCTATGGTTTGTCCTCTGTTGTATTGCTTTGTTGTTTGTTGAGTGTCGTAGGCAGTTTGGAGGTATAAGATTGTGAGGGTTTACATAGAAGTTTTGAGTTGAGACGAAGGTTGAATGTGAAAAGTGGTAAAAGTTGTGAGTTACGGCTACGAGGGTGATGATGATGGATTGAAATTCATGAAGGTTAAGGGTATACGCGGGTCTGTTGTAAAGAGTTTACAGAGAGGTTTGAGTGAGGTGATTTAGGAGAGAGATTTTAGTAGAGTTGTTGCTAGGCCAAATGTAGCTGGCTAATTGAGAGAGTGAAGAGCTGTTTAAGTAGGATGTAGCTTTGGATGAGAGAGGATTGGCATGAGGTTAGAAATGTGGTTTGGAACTTAGGTTAGGATGAAAATGTGGCTTGGAGTTTGTTAGAGGGGAGGGAGAGAAATTTGGTGAGGAAGTTTGTGAGAACATTCGAAGATGAGATTTTTTTTGGAGATATTTTTGCCCTTTTGAATTTCGTGATGTTTTACTGATGTAATAGTAAAAAAAACTTACGTGAAATTGTTGGTATGATGGCAGCCTTTGGATCAAGCCAATGGATGGTTGAGATAGGGTGAGACTTTAGGGGGGAAAGTGGGATAACATTTGAATTAATTTAGGGCTGCTGTTTTTGTGCTTTATAATGCATATTTTGTTTTGCTTACTTGTATGCAATGACAAATTTTCTTCTTCTAGTTTTTGCAGACTGCCTTGTAGTGGACAGTAGGACAGCTATTCTTGTAGGCTGATACTGTAGCAGGATAGCAAGGAAGCAGTATGGTGGACTGGTTTAGGCATGGTTTGCAGGATTGGATAACAGTAGGTTCTAGCTGGTTTTATTTTAATGTTAGAACAAGTTTGGTTTTTGTTTTCTTGCATGTTTACAACAATCTTGTGGGCTGGTTATGGGCAATAACCTGTAGGGCTGTTTTGGACAGCAGCTTGACGTTGTGATTGTTTTTTTTTTTTGTTATGATACTCCTCTTAATTTTCTGAAAATTCGTGGCTGGTATCATTTTCTCTTTCATAATTCTAAAGGGGTTTTGTGACATTTAAGGGAAATGATGAATAGGTTTTTGTGTTTATCTTGACTCGTCTCTTCTTATTGTGAACCAAATTTATTTTGTGATTTGCAATAGGTATGTTCTTTGGCTAATGATAGAATTAAAACCTCTGTTTATGATTCCTTCACAAAATCCCTAATGATGAATTTAAAAGAATAAAACTTTTAGTGTGAAGGATTATTCTTGTTCATATTTCTTTCTTGTTGGCTAACCAAATCTTTTTCTTTGATTTGTTTTATGTGATGGTATGGAAAAACGGAAAGGAAACTTAAAATAGAAAATCATGGATAGGCTTGAAGGGAAATGATAATGATGTCTTGAAGAAATGGGGCTTCCATGAAGCTTGAAGAATATCTTGAATATTTCGGGATTATTTAAACATGTTTACGACTTAAGAATTATGATTAGGCCTTGGATGTAAAGTACCTTTAAAACTTGCATTTTGAAATTGGTCTTTGAATCATAATTTATAACTTACAATTTTCAATTGTAACTTGAATTTTTATCTTTGAAAAATTCTTGGTAAGCATTTGGGTGAAACAAAATAATGTCTTTGTAGTTTCCTTAAAAGAGTTTCTTCCATTTTGAATCTTAAACTAAAGACAAATTCATATAAATGAATTATGCCTTGTATGCTTGAGATGAATTGAAATCAAAGGCATCATTTGAAAAGGATCCTCAAATCTCCTTCACTAAAACTCTAAATCACATCTTCAATTCATAGTAACTCGCAATACAAATCAATGGTACTTGAGTGAACAAATAGTGCCTTAAGAAACTCGATAAAAAATCCACGATAATCTAATAATCATCAATGCTCAAATACCAACGACTTGAAATCATATAAAAACAACTAAGGAATCCCCGAACTCAACATAAGAATCAATATCTTGAGAAAAAATTATGGCATGAGTCAAAATTAGAAGTTAAAAACATTCTAAACCACGAAAATGGCCTATGATAATTCGATAATTTCAAGGTTTTCTAAACACAATTTTCCTTCGATTCTTGAAGAGAACTTATTAATTACATTGCTTATAACAATGTGAAAAATTAATCTTCTCACGATCTTGAAAATTGAGGAAATTATTATTCTTGGAAATCAGGAACCAATTAATTGAGATTAGGTCAAAATCCATAAAGCGACCTCTAAAGTATTCGAATTTTTGATGATCTTTCGCATAGAATCGACTCTTGACTTCTAAAGGGAAGTTGGAGATGACATCAAGGAGAGTCATACACAAAAAGGACCACTCAAAAATACAGAATAATGAAGAAATTACAATCGTTTGAACTTGATCTTGAAAAAGTCGAGTTCGGGGTCAATGCAGCCGATTTTCAGTTATCTGAATCATTGACTGAGTAAACTTGCGATGTGAAGCTTAAAACTTGACACAAGCATCCTTGAGAATACATGAAGAACCATGAAGACCACTTGAAACTTTGGAAACTCATTTTTTCTTGAGAAATACTAAACCCTAGTCGTGGACTCAATGCTTAGGAGGAGAATTCGCCTAATCAACTCCTGAGCCATTTTGAGTATTTGAGAAACCCTAGGATAACATCTAGAATGAAAAAAAAACAGGAGGACAAATTTTGGGCTACAACAGCTGCCCCTGTTCAATCTTCTTAAACCTGACGAGTTTGATTGACATGTCTGCAATTCGTGACTCGAAGGTGAAAGATGATTGAACACTAAAGTGCCCAGAAATTTGCACTCGCTTGTGTAAGAAGTAGCACTTTTGGTTTATTGTATCGGGAATGGGCTTATAGATGCCATTTGGAGATTGACGAAATATTGTCGGAGATGGGCTTATAGATTCCATTAGAAGTGGTTGAGAATCGTCAGAGATGAGCTTATAGATGTCATCCAGAAGTGACTGTTGATGGAGAAATTAGACTAAGTCTAATGCTTGACTTCAGTTAGGAGAAGTATCAGAATAAATATTTGGTCGATTTAATCTGAGCCAGAAAAAGTCTACTGAGAGAAGTATCAAAATAAATATTTGGTCAATTTAATCTGAGCCAGCAGATGTCCTTCGCCTGTCTTTAACTGGAAGAAGTAAATCTAAACTAGAAGAGGTCTTTGTTCATCTGTCTTTAATCTGGAAGAAATAAATCTAACCAGAAGAGGTCTTTCTTCGTCTGTCTTTAACCAATAAATAAATCTAATTAGAAGAGGTCTTTTGATTGCCTATCATTAACTGGAAGAAGTAAATCTATCCAGAAGAGGTCTTCGTCTACCTGTCTTTAACAGAAGAAGTCTGTTGATTGCTTGTTTTTAACTGGAAGAAGTGAATCCACCCAGAAGAGGTCTTCGTTGATTTTTTTTTACCTTTCCTGCAAGGAAAAGGGTTAGTTGCATGCAGATGTATGCATGACGTAATGATGTTCTCAAAATAAATGAGATTGTGTTGTCTGCATTTTGTGATACGGTGGGAGAACTGACTTGAGGTTTCGCGTTTTGATCGCAATTATGCGGTTAGCAAGAGTCGCAACCGACTTTACTTTTATCCAAAAAGGAAAGGTGAAAAAGCACAGGAAAGACCTTTAGAGATGTTTTCTTGAGTTCGGGGGGCAGATTATGAAAAGGAAAGGTGTTAGTACCCTTTTCATCCATGGTTTTCCATGGGCTCTTAGTTACTCGCTAGATCACTTACTTTTGCTTTGACAATGTTCTTGTGATGTGGGCTTTGAAAGTATTTTGAAAATGTCTTTGTAATGGTTCTCGTTTCTATAAGAATGTGTACAAAGTTTTGTTTCGAAAAATAGTATAGAGATCTGTTTGTGGAACGTATTTTTGAAAGTGGTTTTGAAAATATGTTTTTGCAATGGTTCTCGTCTCTATAAGAACGTATAAAAATGTTATGTCTTGTGAAAATGTTTTGAGATGAAAGTATTGGTATGAAAATGCTTGGTTGTGAGCAAGCGAGCAACTAAGAGTGGATCTATCTACTCGAAATGTCTTAAATGTTCTTTTCTTCCTCCTTTAGACGTTGCTATCTTACCGTTGATTTGGTAAGAAGCCCATCTTTGGATGTGAAGGGACAGGCGCGGGACATTTGTACAGTCATAGAAGGCAAATTGTGAGACGCTTTAGCAATTTTCGTAAGGGACTAGATCGTTTTACCAAAGGCAACATTGAGGGACATCGAGGGACTACGATCTTTTTTATCGAAGGGGCTTTGCTAAAGCGTCCCGTATTCGAGGGACATGACTGTATTTCCGAAGCAACGAGCGAGGTTACCCTAGAGGTGCGTGTGTGAAAAAGTGTGTTCATTTCAAGTTAATTATGTTGAAATTAGGTTATCTAGCGATTGATTTTATGTCTTGCCATGCACGCCTAATTTTTATACAGTATAAGGAAAAAATAGTAAATTGCGGAAATTGAAATTCTATGCTATTACAAAGCTTCGGGAATGGGGATACAAATTAATGAATAGGGATGAGTCAAATGCGATCACCAAGTTCGAATAGAAAAAATACAACCAAATCGAATTTTAACAATTTAACTAGAATTATAACAGTCTATGAAATGAAATTGACAAAGTATAAAAAATTTGGTATTTGGTTTATGAGAAAATAAATTGATTTTTTAAATTTTTTTTGAATTGAAACTAAAGATTGACAAAATTAAATCTGAACTAAAAAGTCATTTAAAGTAAATCTAAAAACTAATTTAAAATTCAAAATTAAATTATCCTAAAACAAGCTAATTAAAATAAACTAATTCTAAAATGTTTTGATTAAACCTAAATTAAGTTAAATATAAACTAAAGAAAATTAACCTTAAACAAATTAATTAAAATGAATTGATTTTAAAGTTTATTGACTAAAATCTAAATTAATGTTAAGTATAAACTAAAAAAAAAACAACTAACCTAAAACAAGTTAATTAAGATAAATTAAAACTAAAATGTATTGATTAAACCTAAATTAATTTAAGTAACTAAATAAAATTAAACAAAAAAAAATTATTTAAAATAGATTAATTCTAAGGTTTATTAATTAAATCTAAATTAGGTTAAATATAAACTAAAAAAGAAAAACAATTATCTCTCAGTCTTCTCTCTTCCTCCATACTTCCTCTCGACCCAAAACGATGTCTTCTTCCTCATCTCTCTGTTTCACAGTCACTGGACCTTACTACCATGAAACCAACTGCCCTAACTTTTATCAATTCAAGCTCTATCAACTTCTCTATGAACCCTTCATTCGGTAGCAAACTAGAAAAACCCTAACTTGTTTCAAGTTCAAATTAAACTCTCCATTTTCATCAATCTTAATAATGAGTATAGGGGTTTTGTTCCTGGAACTATGAACTATAGCATGGTATAAAGGAAACGACGAAAAAATGAGGTCTTCAGATTTACCTGTGAGGCTAGGGTTTGCCTTGGCTGCGATTTGCAAAATGGAGAAGAGGAGATCAAAGCTGGGGCTTTGATCTTCTAGGTATGGTGTCTGAATCTTCTTCTTTATACTTCTTTTGATTTTTACTTTTGTATATTTTTGATTATGTTTGGCTTAAGACTAAGGATCTGTAGATTTTCTGGCCCAGTGTTGTTGCTCGAGATTGCTGGTTTTTTTGTGTTATTTTTCTGTATATTGGCTTAGTATATCTTTGGTTCTGTATACTTGCTGGCTATTTTATATCTTAATGTGAAAGAGATGTGGCTGAGGCAGGTAGTTTTGGTAATGGTGTTTTCAGTGATTTTGGTTCTGTATACTTGCTGGCTATTTTGTATCTTGCTGTGAAAGAGATGTGGCTGAGGCAGGTAGTTTTGGTAATGGTGTTTTTAGTGATTTTGGTGTTGTATACTTGCTGGCTATTTTGTATCTTGCTGTGAAAGAGATGTGGCTGAGGCAGGTAGTTTTCGTAATGGTGTTTTTAGTGATTTTGGTGTTGTAAAAAAATGGAAGGGGTTTGATGGAAGTATATGAGTCTTAATGATTTTCGTATGGTTTTCTTTTTGACCTCTCTCTCTGTTTTGCTTGTGCCTCCCCCCTCTATATTGACAATAGAAGCTAAAATAAAATGGGGGGGGGGAATAACAATCATTTGAAAACTTGTGGTATACTGTGATGATGTTCTCTGTTGTAGTTTTTTTTTCTTTCCATTTTTGTACAAGTCTTGTGCAGGATTTGGACAGTTTTGTGCATAATTTTCGGACAATTATGCAAAGCTTGTAGCAGAAGCAGCAGGGCTGTTTGTTTTATGATAACAGCTGGCTTGGTAATTTTTGGATTGCTAGTGGCCTAGGTGATATCTTTCTCTTTCCCTCTTCATATTTCTATGATACAAAGCCCAATTTCTTTTTCTTTACTCAAAAATTCTGAAGGGTTTGCTAGTTTAGGAAAATGATGACACCATGTTTTGATAGCTTGCATTGTTGATATCTTGCTGCTTTGTTTCTTTTGGTGCATTGCTGCGTTTTATTTGG